AGCTTAATCGCGCTTAACCAAATTGTTTAATCCAATATCAAGGTTTGCCCTAAATTAACCTAGACATGTGACTTAAAAAGCCCTAGGAATCCCAACTCAATTGAGCCTGCCTTGAAAGGGGGTTTTCCCTCTCTAATCTAGGTTAAATTGGCCAATTAGATTGCTAACCACAAACATGCACAATCAACATGGAAAATACCTCAATCATGGAATTAAACAACACATGTTATGGGACAATCCAAGTACTACATCAGAAATACTAGGGAAGGAACCCTTGTATATAAATGTCCACTAAGCTCATTAGTACGAGACCTTTTGGGGAGGACACCCAAGAGTAAATCCGTATGGGCTTAGCCCAAAGCAGACAATATCGTACTAATTGAGCTGCCCAGTTATAACAAGTGGTATCAGAGCCTGGTTCGGCGGATCCAGGGCGGTGGACGTCAGTTTGGTGGGACCCTCATTCGGTGGCTTCGGGATTTGCGATTCGCGTATGTTTGGTTGATCCAGGAGAGACCCACGTTTGGGCTTGGCTGATCAAGAGAGATTCGCGTTTGATTTGGCAGATCAATGAGAGTTCTGGGTCTGGAAAATTCCTTGTACCGAGAAGCCCATCGATACAAGGCATTTGGCGGATCAAGATAATCGCTGAGGTGAGGACACGAAGTTCGTGGTCCTTGTCTTGAGGGGATGATTGTTATGGCACAATCCATGTACCACATCGGAAATACAAGGGAATGAACCCTTGTATATAAGTGTCCACCAAGCTCATTAGTACGAGGCCTTTTGGGGAGGACACCCAAGAGTAAATCCGTGCGGGCTTGGGCCAATGCGGACAATATCGTACTAATTGAGCACCCCAGTTATGACAACACATATGAACAATCATTAAATTCACATAACAAAAACTAAGATTGGTAAATAGTTAGGGTTTCACAACACCCAAGCGAAAAGATAAAACTACTCCATGCTAGAAAGGGGAGAAACACAAGGGGAAGAGGTAGAAACCATCATGGAGATGCTTCCAATCTTATTTGCACTTGTGTTGATCTTCTCTTGAGGAGAATCCTCCCAATTCATCACTTGGAGCAAACCCTAGCCTTCCTTCTCCTTTGGTTCGTTCTTTCTCTCTCTAAAAGCTAAAGAAGACACTTTCTCACTCTTGGGCTCTCCCCTCTCTCTTCCTTTCAGCTCTCCTTTTAAACAGGGATCGGGCTCAGTTCATGGCCTCAGTTCACGGCCGTGAACTCTTGAAAGAGTCCGTGAACTCAAGGAAACGCCCCGCTTCGCTTGCTCAGGTTCACGGGCAACACCTCCAATTCACGGTCTTAGTGACCGTGAACTCACTTGGTGTCAGTAACTTAGGATTTGGCCCTCGATGCCTTGATGTTCACGGGAAACAACTCTTCTTCATGGTCTAAGCAGACCGTGAACGTCCAAGAGAAACCGTGAACTGCCGGTTTTCACCTCTTCTCCCGGTTTTCGCTCCTTTTTGTCCAACTTTAGACTCTGGGGCTGGTTTCACTTGTTAAATCCTGAAACATGCTAAAACACAAGAAACCTCGTGTAAAACACCCTTTTAGGAGCACAATTGCCACAAACGCCTAAGGAAAACGGGATAAAATATGTACAATTCGGCCTGAATCAGTCCTCGATGCTTGCCTCTTCATCTTCCTTTTCTTCACAAACCACTAAGAATCGTTCTTGAGTGAAACGTGCACAAGCTTTCACGACCATCGAGTTTAGCCTCTCCGTGCTCTTGTGTATTTTCTCCGCTTCATAGAGGAAATCCGAGTGAGGTGGGTCCATGGTTCGAAAGGCCGGTTCGTAATATGATCTCCCATTATCCGATGCAAACTTCTCCACCAATAGCTCCAATTGGCTCTGCACTTCATGTTATGGAGGGTAGTCTTCATAGAAATCTTAAACATCCGAGGGATACGTTTGTTCATCATAGGATGGTAGTTGGTAGTCAACCCCGGATCCGTAGCCTTCTCCTTCTTGATTGCTCCATGTTGGCTTGGCGTAACACCATTCGGGTGTTGGACCTGTTGGTTGATACCCCCACATGTAGGAGAAGCTATCGGGATCCATGGCTGAACTCTGCATCACAAAAGATGAAAACACAAAACAAAACAAAAGACGAGATAGAAAATGCTAAAGTAACAATAAACAACTTTTTCTAGATAACGGACCGTAAACTCTCCCCAGCAACGGCGCCAAAAACTTGACTCATTCCAACTACCACAATATATTCCCGACTAGAGCCTAAGTATAAACTATAGCCCGGTGTAATATAGAGAAAGCGTTTTAATTGTCAACCCGGGCCGGTTCATGCACCCTACTTCAATCGCTTAATTTGTTATCTAGCAAACGGTTTGGGGTTTATAAACTAAGAAAAGTACAAAGTAAACAAGAAAGTAAAATAAATCGAGGTTATCCCAATAAGAGAAGAATTCACCGGGCATATTTCCCCTAGTTGTATATCAAGATCGACTGAATTGAATTCAGATGTATAAAGTTGTGTTCATACACCGTTAGGAGGGTGCAACTAGTGAAGAGACTTCACTCTCTCGGATGATATGCCAAGGAATGATACATAAGCTATGCACTAGCTCTTTTGGCCCATCACCTAAGGGTTGCAGAGGTTACACCCTCAAAACTTAATGCGGACGACAAATTAACAACCAAATCAAGGTGCTAAATTGAAGTTTGAGGCTTGCCCTAAATTACCCTAGGTGGGTGACTCAAATGGCCAAGAAATCCAGCTTCTCAAAGCCTCTTACAAAAGAGGGGTTCTCACCACCTAGGTCAATTTGACATGGTTATGAGAAATGAAGAACACAACTCATGAATTCTGAAAGTATCTCAAACTTTGCATTAAAACACAAACCCACACACATAGCATTAAGTCTTTACAATCTATCACATACATAAAGCTAGGGTTCACAATACCCAAGTGAAAGAGAACACTACTCCTTAGCTAGGCAAATAAATACTACAAAGAAGAGAGAAAGAATCATGGTGTGGTGACTATCCTCCTTCCTTGATGCTTGAATCACACTTGAGAGAAGAACGCCTTTAATACTCTAGTTTAGGGCAAACCCAAATCTCTTTCTTCTTCCTTTTGTTCTTCACTTTCTCACTCTTAAGAAGAAAAAGATCTCTCTCTCACACACTAGGATTTTCCCTCCTTTTTAGGGGGTTTTAGGTGGAACCCTAGAAGGGAACCCAGAAAATCTAAAACCCAACCAAGTTCCAACTCCCTTTTCTCTCTCCCAGCTGCCTTCTATTTATACAACATGACCGTCACTTTCACGGTAAGAATATCACGGCCTTGACATTGGAGGTTCAACCGTGACAGTAGACAAAAACGCGGGAGACTGCTGCCGTTTCTGTCTGGCATCACGGTCTCTGGGAAATTGTCATGGTCTGGTGATCGTGACAACCTTTAGGCATGCGAGACGTAAAAATCTTATGTTTCTAGCAATCTTCACGCCCGACTGTGAAAATCACGTCACAACCTTGATATGCGAATGTCTTTCACTTTTTGGCGCTTTTCGACCCCAATCGTCCCGAAACTTGTCCTCGACCCTTCCACGCGTGCTAGGACCTGAAATGTAACAAAAATAGCATACTCTAGCGTAAAATAGGTCGAGAGACGATGATTCACAATGTCAAACTATCAAGAAATGAGGGGTAAAATATGTGTAATTAGCCCCGAATCAGTAGGCTCCTTGTATCTTATTGATCTGGTAAACACCATGACACAATATATGAATAAAACTTGCAAGAATCCAAAAACTCATATGATGCTAACATCGTTTTGCTTTTTGGGTGTAGCCGAGTGAAAAAGTGGGTTGAGTTTTTGGAAACCCCAAACTCAACCTAACCTACAAATTTCAAAATTGGATAAAACCCACACCAGATCAAAACTCATCAATGAGAAATTTTACAATGCTATATAGTATTGGTGCTATAGGTTTTTGCATTTATGGTACAACTTAAAATTGTACATTTACTTTATGGTACAACTTCAAATTGTACATATACTTTTTGTACAAATTCTTTTATGGTACAACTTGAACTTGTACCTTTATGTGATGGTACAACTTCAAGTTGTAAAGTTGTACCATAACATAATGGTACAAATTGCTTTATGGTACAACCTAAACTTATACATTTAATGTTATGGTACAAGTTTGAGTTGTACATTAAAGCACCAATGCTATATAGCATAGTAGAAATGCTTATTGATTTTTACTTGTTTTGGCCGGATTAGGTTGGCTACCTGTTGATTCGGGTTTTAATTGACATCCGTAGTCAAAAGTAATAATAAAGCACATAAATACATGTAGTAATATATAAGTCCTTAAAGGAAGTATAATGAAGACTAAACATGTTATTATTCTTCATTTTACAATGGGTTATAGCTATAGGTATAATATGCCCCTCTACTATGTCATTTTATCAAACATGCCTTTTACTATTTTTTACATAAAATACGCCCCTATACTTTGGAAAAATGATCAAACATGCCCTTTTGTCAAAATTTACATCCAAAAACCGTTAACCACGGTCGAACTTTGGTTTGGACGACAAAAATCTCTAAAATATCCCTACTAATTTCACTTTAGAATTTTTTTGGCTCTTTTGTATAACCAAATAATTCTAATAATTTCACTTTGACGAGACCCAGAGAAATAAAACAGGGGACAAAACTGACATTTTTCCTCCCGTTTGCTGATGTCGGGTCGTCTAAATTTCGGTTCAACCATGATTGACAATTTTTTGAATAGAAATTTTAATAGAAGGGCATGTTTGATAATTTTTCTAAAGTATAAGAACATGTTAGATGTAAAAAATAATAAATGAACATGTTTAATAAAACGACATAATATAAAGACATATTATACCTATAACCCTTTTACAATTTGTAATAACACAACAAAAAAGTATACAAGTTGTCGCGAAAAGAAATGACAAGAAATGGGCCTCCAAACAGGCCCAGCCATCCATCCTCGGGCATCAAAGGACTGTGTGAGACGCGGAGGTATCGATGTGGGAAAATGCCTTCCATTGGAATGGACTCCACTTTGCTTCTTCATTAAGAATTTCAATCGAGAAAAAGAAAATCGAGAGACACAGAGAGAGAGAGAAATTCGGATTACCTTTATAAAATTCAACGACGCGGCAGATTGATCAGAATGCGCTCCTTCCCACCAAATTCCTCTCCTCTTCTTTCTCCGCTGCTCCTCTTCTTTGTCGTTTCCGCTGCGATCGCCACCATGACCGACTCCGTTCCTTCCGCCGCCGCCGCCGCCGCCGCTCAGCCGGCTTCCGCCGCTGTTCACATCGTCTACACCGAGAGGCCGGAGGGGAATGAAGAGCCGGAGGCCTATCACATCCGAACCCTCGCCTCCGTCCTCGGCAGGTCCGTCTCTCTTCGATTACGCCGCCGATAAATCATCTGCTCTTGCTCGTCTTTCGTGCTTGTTGATTGAGAGTTTTTTTGTTTGTTTGTTTGATTGGAATCACAGCGAGCAGGCTGCGAAGGATGCTATGCTGTACAGTTACAAGACGGCTGCGTCTGGCTTCTCAGCTAAGCTTACTCCAGAGCAGGTCGAGCAGATCTCAAGTAAGTGGGATTTTTTCTTCAGCTCCATTTTGCTTTTTCCTTGTCTAGAATTCGATGATCTAGAAGCGTACAATTGGAGTTCCAAAGTTGGTTATTATTGTCTCATGTGGCTTTGAATTGAGGATTCGTTGATGGGCTGTATGGTTTGGCTGATTGATTTCGAAAGAAACTTACTTTGTTGCTCAATTGGTGGAAGGTTGAGTTGAATTAGGGTTTGATGGTTGTTGTACCTTTGGTAATGGCACCTGTTTGTTGCCGATTGTCACCCTTTGGGAGTCCTTTTGATAACCTTTTCTCAGCTACATGACTTCTGTTGTCATACTTCTGTGAAGTTTGTTTTGATTGCATCTTCAGGAGATGTTGAATCGTCTGAGAGATCCCTTTGCTTGGCTCGCGATGTAGGTTAATGTATATTCCTTATTTTAGTAACGTATTTCTGATTCGCTTGAATGAGTTCTTGTGAAGGCTTCTTTGCCCGGGTTATGTTTTCCAGAAAATAGGATTGAATATGCTGATGACGAGTTAATTCCCAGATGTTGTGCTCTGCTTTTATATATAGATAGCAGAGTCGCACAAGCAAATGTGATACAGACCTGTCATTTGTTACAGTGCTGAAGCCTCTTTGTTCTGTTGCTCAACATTTTGCATCCAAGCCATCACTGGTTTCATAATCTCAAATGGAATGACAAGTCCCTTTTACTTCTTTTTGTGTTTTTGTTTCGTTCGCAGGACAACCCGGTGTACTTCAGGTTGTCCCGAGCAGGACTGTCCAGCTGCATTCTGGACCGGGGAAGCTCCACTAGAGGACTTGCCAAAGCAATATATATCATCTGATAAATGTGTAACCAATGAGTGGATTGTTTTTCTCTTACTGCATTAGCAAACGTCTTCTGTGCACTTACTACAGATGGTATATGGCCTGTAAAAACACAGTTTATGTTTTAAATAAAGGGTTAAAGACATATTTGGTCACTGAGATTACTAAATCGGGATATGTTTAGTCACTAGAAAAAATTAATATCAATTTTAGTCACTTGAATTACTGAAACAGGTCACATTTAGTCACTCTCCGTTAGTCTCCTTCCAACTCCGTTAATGAAGTCCGTTAAGTGCTGATGGGGCAAACAAAATTGCCTAATAAGCCAGATATAACCCAAGAAAAATAAAACCCGACCCGTCACGTCATTAAATCCAACCCAACCCAACCCAACCTTTCTTCCTCCTTCCTCCCACCTCCTCCTTTCCCCAAAACCACCACTGCAGCTGCTCTCCTCCTTCCTCCCACCTCCTCACTCAAACCTATTCAACCTAACCCAACACCAAATCCGTTCGTCTCCTCTGTTACATTTCTTCCCCCAAATCCCAACCCAACTAGAAAATTAAAAAAAAACCCCTTTCTCATTTCTCTCCACAACAATCTGATCTACATTCACAAAAAAAAAAAAAACCCACAGCAATCCAATCTTCTTCTCAATTTACACACCTCTACTCCTCCTTCAATCAGCACAAAAATGGTGTCCCTTCCCCATTCCATAATTCTCCTCTCCCTCATCCTTTCCACCCTCACCATCTCCACCATTGCACAATCCAAGCCCAGATCCCTAATCCTCCCGCTCACCAAAGACCGCGCCACCAACCAAATTCTCACCCGCCTCGATCTCGGCACTCCCCAAGTCTCCCGTAACTTCATCGTCGACATCGCCGGCCGACAGCTCTGGCTCGATTGCTATAGCGGCTTCTCCAATTCCTCCTCCACCTACCGCCTAGCCCGCTGCGGCTCCGCCGCCTGCTCCGTCTCCAAAGCCGAATGCAAGTCCCCCTACTTCCTCCCCCCGCAGCCGGGTTGCTTCAACAACTCCTGCATCATCCTGACCCGTAACCCGATCCGGACGACAGGTGGCAGGTCCGAAGTCGCCCTCGATACGGTGTCGCTTCACTCCACCTCCACGAGCGGTGCACGCGGCGGGCCCCGCATCTCAATCCCCAATTTCATCTTCGCCTGCGAAACCGTCTTCGGGCTCGATAACCTAGCCGCCGGGGTAGAAGGCGCACTCGGCCTCTCCGGTGAGCGAATTGGCCTCCCGTCGCAAATCTCGATAAAAGCCAAAGGGTCGTTTAGGTGGGTTAGGATTTATTTCTGGGGCGGGTTGGGTTAATGGATTGGGTTGGGTTTAATATGTGGCGGGTTTAGTGACGTGGTGGGTCTGGTTTGACCATTTCTTGCCCAAAACGGCGCTGACTAGGCGCTCACGTTAGCCACGTCAGCACATAACAGACTCTTTTAACGGAGTTGGATGGCAACTAACGGCGAGTGACTAAATGTGTCCAATTTTAGTAATTGTAGTGACCAAATCTGATATTAACTTTTTATAGTGACTAAACATGTCCCGATTTTGTAATCTCAGTGACCAAATGTGTCTTTAACCCTTTAAATAAATGTCAGACACTCGCGCAACTGGGATTCTTTCTACTGAAGTACTCCACCGGCAGCAGTATCCCAATACAGACAGTAGTATTTGGATATCCCTATACGGGCCTTGTTAGTTGTTGCTGGGCCAGGGGCAAGAGGAAAATCATAAGCAATGAATTCTTAGAGGGAGGCAGAGCAAGTCGAGGAAGAGCTCTCTGTAAATGTTACAAATAAATTTCTCCAAGGTTTGGTATACAAGCTATTTATGAAGAATGGTATATTATGTACGCACTTTAACTACCAATTAATTATTATATATGTCTTATAACCCCTATCGTCCAATAGGATTGGGAAAATAAATAAGATCGTAGGAAAATCGACGGTGCTATAGAAAGTCCATCTATTCCCAATATCCAGTAAAAATAAAAAAATTGGATCCATTTATAATTTTCTGTTAATTGGTTTAATGGATCGTTCAATTGGAAATAATAAACAAATGCATAGGTCATTAAAAGAAATTCTAAGATACATATATATATAAAGAGTATACCACCTAATTACCTTATTTCTTTTATGAGGGAAAAGGAAAATTAAGGAACCCGCGGAAAATAGATTAGATCGTAACGAATTGTGGACCGAATCAGACAGTACCGTTCGATCCTAAACATAGAATGCTAAAAGTGGTTTTGTTTGGTCCATAGTTTGCATTATGAGATGTTTTCTATCTCTTGGTTTGGTATGAGCCAGCCTGTATTTTGGCGGACTAGATTGTAATCCCAACTCACTTCCCAAGTAGTGTTAGTAGCCAACTCAACCAACTTTCCCCACTCTCCAAATGGGACACAAGTCGCAACCCTAATATTGCAAATATCATCCCACTTTCGTTCGCAAATCACACTCAACTAGAGAGTAGAGACGATCAAATCTCTATATGAACTTATCTTATTTTTTTAAGACGTTTATGGTAGGAAGTTGGGTTGCTCTGACTTTGATTCTTTGTCATTCACTTGGAATTTAGATTTTAAGAGAGTATATTTTTTTCTCGGTTATAAATCAAACAAATTGTCCATTTTTTGCTCAACATGATATGTTAGGCCCGTACGTAGGGCTGCAAATGAGTCAAGCCGCTCGCGAGCAACTCGGCGTTTGAATCGGAAAAAACTCGTTCGACACTCGACTCGTTGTTTAACAAGCCGGCTCACGCCAAGTTTGATCTAGGCCATGCTCGGCTTGATAAGCTCGCGAGCTAGCTTGACTCGGTGACTTGTTGAGCTAAGCTCGCGAGCTGGCTTGTTTAAAACTTGTGGAAGGATTAATTATTCTTCTGAACATGAAAATTATCTTTTTAATAAGGATGTGTATGGAAGTTAGATGTTATTTTTAGTTTCTAGTGTTCTTTTTATCATTTTTAATTTCTAATGTTCTTATTTGTACACATTTTTTAGCAAGAATGGTTTCAAATCGAGCATATCTTGAGTCGAGCTTGTACTTAGCTTGACAAGTTGTGTTAATGAGCTTTTACCGAGCTCTATCGAGCCGAGCTCGAGTTGGATTATTTTTAATCGAGTCGAGCTCGAGCTGGATGATCAAAATTCGAGTTCGATCTAAAATTTTTATAAATGAGCCGAGCTCGAGCTAAGCAAAAACTCGACTCGACTCATTTACAGCCCTACCCGTAAGCTACCAATTCAGACCATACTATGTGATTCAGACAGTATAATATTTAGTTTCCCTTCTATGTATTCAATCCCCTCGGTCTAAACCTATATACACACGTTTCCCAACTCAAATTCCTAATATGTAAACGAACATGTTATTGGACCAAACTCCTTTATATAAAATAAAGGGTTAAGTAAAAGATTTGATGAAAAATTTAAATCCAACAAAATTCCACAAAACAACTTGTTGCTTGCTAATATTTGCTTTATTCCTTGTTTCTTTTCCAGCCTTTTCCATTTAAGTTTGCCCTTTCTTGCTTTGCTTTCCTCTCGTCACCAGTCCCCTTTGTGTGTCTTCTATTCTTCCTTTCCTTGTGAGATGGATGGTTCTAGCTCTAGTTTCTTTTCTATTCTTCGGATTTAGAAATTGACTCGCACGAAACTACACCACAATAAAATCTCAACTAAAGTCCAAATTTTTAAACTTTAATAGGGTGCAGTATAGGGCAAGTATTTAGATATCGACCCGGGCCGGTCCGTCTACTCCTACTTCAGTTGTTGAAATCATTATCTAGCAACAAAACTTTGGTTTAAAGGTTTGCTAATTGAAATGAAAGAAAGCAAAGGTAAATGGTTTTGATAACTCTTTGGTGGAAAGATCACTCGGGTGTCGCTTCCTCCTAAATGCTACCATGCTATGTGAATTGGAACAATTGCTTTGGGCACGATAATCGTGAACATCAGAGGGATGCATATATGGTTGGAGACCAGAATCTCAATTGCTGAACCGAGGTAAGCATGAAAGGCTGTGTCACTCGACCCTCTCGGTTTAGACAATCGGTAATTGACTTACTCCCTCACTCAACTCTAAGGTCGGATGACTTAATCACGATTAACCGATTTTCTTAACTCAATATTGAGGGTTGCCCTCGCTTAACCTAGTTTAGGTGGCTTAGAAAGCAGAAGGAAAACCAACTCGATTGAGTCTCCCTTGGAAGGGGGATTTTCCTATCTAAGCTAGGTTAAGGTGGCTAATTAGATTGCTAGCACCAATATGCACAAACCTAAGGATGCTAAACACAAAATATGCATAACCCCTAGGTTGCTAAGCACAAGCATGCACAATCATGATGAATAATGCCTCATTCATTGAATTTAACAATACCCAATGACAATCATCCAAAACACATAAAAGAAAACTACATGGTAGAGTTAGGGTTTCACAACACCCAAGTGAAAGGAGGTCTACTTCATGCTAGAAGTGGGAAAAACAAAAGGGAAAGAGATGGAAACCACCTTGGAGGATGCTCCCGGTCTTCTTGGCCCTTGAGTTGAGCTTTCCTTGGAGGAAATCTTCCCAAAATCTGCCTTAAAGCTAAACCCTAGCCTTTTTCTCCCTTTGGTTCGTGTTTCTCTCTCTAGAATGTAGAAGAAGGCTTTTCACACCAAATGGGCTCCCCCCTCTCTCCTCCTTTCAGCTCATCATTTCAACCAGAGATGAGTTCACGGCCGTGAACCATGAAACGCGTCCATGAACTACAGGCGTGCGCCAAAATGCGCCGCATCGTTCACTCGAGTTCACGGTCAATTGCCTTTCTTCACGGCCTTAGCGACCCTGAACTCACCTTGCGTCAGTAACCTTCACTTTGGCTCTGGATGCCTCGCGATTCACGGTCAACTCCTCTTATTCACGCTCATGCGAGACTGTGAACTCCCTTTTGTTAGCCGTGAACTGGCTCTTTTTTACCTCTTCTCCCGGTTTTCGATCCTTTTCGCCAATCTTTCGACTCCGAGGCTGGTTTTACCTGTCAAATCCTGAAACACACTAAAACACGGGGAACCTAACGTAAAACCAACCTTTTAGGAGTGAATTTGGCACAAACATCTAAGTAAAACGGGGCAAAGCATGTACAATTAGGCCCGAATCACTCCCCCACACTTAGATGTTTGCTTGTCCCCAAG